CGATGTTAGCGATACATCTTTTTCTAATTATTGCATGAATTTAAACATTGTTTATGATTAGACTCAAATAGTAACAATAGGACTCCAAATCATGCGGATTTTTTTTTATTTTTTTTTAAGTGGGGAAAATCATCAAATGACTGCTCCCGCCTGGGTGAGGCGGAAGGGAGTGTCAGAGTCTTACTGACTAAAAACCACCCCGTTCCTTCTCCTGCACGTCGAGCCGGAGCCCCGGTTACCCATTAGGTTCTCCGCGACAAATCATGCGGATAGGAAGTCTTTTGTGACCACTAGTTCATTTATAACCATTTCTAAGTATTCCAGTCATAAAAGTAATTACTTATGAATCCATTTACTAGTAGATGGGTCGACGTAAACTCGATCGGTCCACAAGCACTGAAATTCAATCAAAAGGAACTGCTGAGCACACATTTGTGTTATAAGCGAGAGGCGATACGGCGACACTGTGTTCATAATCATATTATATATCTTACTAATATTATAAATTCGAAAGTTTGTCAGTGTGTATATGTGTGTGTGTAATTATGTAATGCTACTATACAATTTAACTCACACTTTTCACTATTTATGTTATCAGTGAGCCTATTGTCATATATCGGGCCCAATTCCAGACTCCATGCTACTACTGATATTTTTTTTTAAACCCAGTACTAGTTTGCCCGTCCCAGGAATCGAAACCGAGACCCCTCGCCCGACAGTCGCACTTACGACCACTGGCAGTGTGTTTGTTACTCTTTCACAACAAAACAGCTGAAGGGGTCTGATCGGGTTGAAATTTGGAACAGGGATGAAATGGTCTGAAATAATATATTTTTTCTGGAAGAAGTAAGCAATTGGCGTCGCCCATAGACACCTGTAACACCAAAGATGTTCTAAGTGCGTTACCAGCCTTTAGGGGATTAGGAAATAGGATTGTAGGAGGTTCGGATTCGGGTAATTACGCCTCTGATAAATTCACTGACACGACAAAACAGCAGCTGTAGCCAAATGCCATTTAGCGCTTGTGTACAGAGAGAGTAGAAATCAAAATATATGGGGATAAATGATACTGACAAATTGTGTCAAAATTTACGTCATATCCATATAATTTGGTTTTATATTTTACAAGTAGACAAGTGCTAAATGGCATTTGGCTACAACTGCAGTTGTATTTTTTTTATGGGACAAACCCGCCACAACCTCCCAAAACCGCTGCAACTCCTGTAAGCCAGGATCTACAGCAGATACAACCATGAAAACACCGGAACACTGAAGTCCGGCGCGTCGCAGGGTCATTAATAACTGTCTTGGTTCCAGCAACGAAGTGAATCAGAAGATATTATAAGAGGAGAAGAAGAGAAAACTATAGTTTCCACTTCCCTAGGTGAAGTGGACGTGCAGTGTGTGTTTGCAAGCGTTGTTTCACGTCGATTTTCTGCTCGGCCGTAGTTATCACTCCGGTCGAGCCAGCCCATTCGTGCCGAAGCATGGCTCTCCCACACTTAACACTAGGTTCAGCTAGTGTTAAGTAAATAACTCCATAACAAAACTGGGTCCCGCTTACCGTTAGTAACTCAGACAGCTAGTTAATTCAGTCGATGAAGATGGGATCTAATATTGCGACCATAACTTGATAAACAGGCCGCTAGGGACGCTGGCCGCTCGGACAGAGGACCTCTAAGATAGGTTAAGAGGTGTCTATTGAAAAATAGGGATGACGACAGGAGATGAAAATTAAAAATCTTATTAGTCCGTCAGTTAGGTATTCAGTGGGACCTATATACTTTGTTTTTATAATATATGTGTTGTCTTTTGTGTTGTATGTGTGTACATAAACCCTTACTAATATCCTTATCCTTACGAATATTATAAATCTGAAAGTGAGTTTGTGTGTTTGTTTGTTTGTTCCAACTTCACGCCGTAACTACTCAACCGATTGCTTTGAATTTTTGCAGACGTAAAGTCCGGATTAAATAATAGGGGGTACTTTTTATCCCGGAAAAATTGATATTCTCGAGGGAAAACGAAATTATTGGTATAGATGGCGCTGTGTGTATTCGTATATGTCACATAGGCTACTTTTTATTCTTTTGTGACGCTAGCGAAGCCACGGGTAAAAGCTAGTAAATAAATAAAACATAGAAAAAGGAAAGATTTGTCGCTATAATGCTTAAAATGCTATAATATGATCATATATTAAAATAATGCGATAATTTATATCACATTTTGACGCTGAATATATAGCTCGCTGTATAAGATTGATTAGCTCCATTTTCGAGTTAAGAAACGATATTTCAACTCGATCCATCATTACTCGTGAACGGCCGGAGTGTGAGCAATTGATTTTTTTGCCAAATATATTATTATACTTTGACATATAGATACGTTTTCTGAATACAACTATTTATATTTTTCACTTTGGTCTGAGAGGGTCATAGCAGCGACTGCCAAGCAAGTATTCCTGTGACAGGTGAAGAATTCTTATTTTTATCAACAACACAGTTTAGTAGCTGTCCGGAGTTGGTGGCGGATAACAGAAGCTTTGACCGCGTGGTCGTCGAAAAAAATTATCTAGTATCAAATTCTAGGTACATAGCTATCCTCGGGCGAGACCTGTCTTCGGGCGAGACCTGTCTCTCCCAGCCGTAGTTAAGGCTATGCTGGCAGATACAGAAAATTGGAGGGAAGTGGCGTCCTTTTGTGAGACTGTAATGTCCTAAAAGGAAGCTGGTGAGCGGGGTCGTGAGAGGGCCGATCCTGCTCGTAGAAGGCGTCGAGGAGGTAACCACCTTGATGCCTAACACGCCGAAATCCCGCCTGCATAAACTTCAGGCGGACCTTTGGGGCCACGGGTGCGTAGAGTGGGGACTCTAGGTGCCCATCCTGTGGTCTCCGGGAAGACGGTGGCACAGTGGTCACGTGCCGCCGTACACAGCAAGGCTTAAAGGAGACACCCGTCTCCCTAGGGATGTGTCGTAACAGGCGTTTCACCGTGGAGGCGCCGGAGCAGGTCTCTTTTAGAGGACCCGGTGCCTCCATTCAGGTGTTGAGGGTGGCCACCGGGGTAGTTTTAGTGAGGTAAAATCCCACACTCCCTAGTCTTTTATCCCCAAAAGGGCTGAGCGCATTTTGAAGGTTTCCCCCCGTCATAAAAAAAAGGTACAATTATACTATAAATCGCCTTATTTCGTTTTTTCGTCAAAGAACGACACACACGTATTCATTTCTAATATGAAGTGATAATCGAATCGTATTATATCTCAGTATTTGAGTAAAAATGAACATAATTGTGAAATTGACATAAATAAGAGGATTTCATAATCATGCATGAAGGTTTAACAAAAAGTTTATCATTGGTAGCTGGTAGAACTATTTTTTATTGCCACCAGAGAGGTTTTAATTAAGTAAAAATCCTACACTCTTTAGTCTTTTTCCCCAAAAACCTAGGCGCTTTTTGAAGATTACACCCCGTTAACAAAAAAAAAAACGCCGGTGTAACAACACAAGTCTATCCTTTCTCTAGAGTGAACTTAAGTCTGACTCTAGAGAAAGCACCAGCCTTACATTGTAGGTACACGCGCTCCCTAAAGTCGTTCGCAAGAAAAACAAAACAATATAAGTTCATAAATCTAAGTACAAATTTTGCGAGAGCAAACGAAATCTCAGTGTTCTCGTGAAATATGAGGACTGAAATTGAATCGCGGAGCAGAGGTCGTGCCCTACGTTTTGTCAAAATTCATATTTGATCGAATTATTGGTACGTTTTTACTGTTTCAACTTTTATTAGTTTCCGAAGTGAATAATAGCAATGTGATAGTTTCTGTATAGTTTTTGTTGGGTTCTTACGTTAGCGTATAGATCTCAGTGCGGTAATGTAAATTTCATTTTTAACCGACTTCAAAAAGAAAAAATGAGGTTCTCTATTTGACCTGTATGTATGTATGTTTGTGTGCAATTATCTCGCAATTGACTGAACCGAATTTGATGCAGTTTTCAAAAAGTGTTTACACTTAGGAGGAGACTTTAGTATATGAAACAATCACCTACCGCCAGACGCAGGTGCTAACCGGACACGGGAGTTTTGGTAGGTTTCTGTTTCGGATTGAGTGGGAGGAAACGCCTACGTGTCATCGCTGCGAGGACCGGCCGGAGAACACAGTGGAGCATACCGTGGCGGCAAATCGATTGTGATGGTATTTGTTACAGTCATGCAGCCCTAGAATATACCTTCGCAAACACTAATTAAAAAACCTAATTTATACAGAAGTCACTATTTCACGCGAACGAAGTCGCGGGTAACTGCTAGTGAACGTTATTTTAGCGATAGTCTTAAAATTAAACAAAATTTATTGATATTTATAAAAAATCGAAATCAAAGAATACAAAATGTGTGATTCAAAAACAGTATATTTAAAATAAAATAATAACATACACATAAAATAAACTAACCGTTGCACAAATGTAAAGAAAACAGCAATAAAATAAAATACCTGAACATTATATTTCCGAACATATTATTATTAGTCGCTCTTAACGAATGTTTGGAAAAAAAATTGCATTCAAGCGCAAGAAATCATCAAAATATGATAAAGTAAGATATTACATCTAATGAGATATCTAAAAAATCGAATGAAGGGTCTAATTTTAAAGTAATGACTCAGACTTAACAAGTTATGCAATGTGTATGACTCTGTTTTTATAATAACTATCGTGAGACATACTAAATTAAGTAAAATCGGGTTACTCACATGGGCTGCGCGACGTCGCCGCGACCGCGCACGCTGCTCGTGAGGAAGAACCCCTCTGTGGTTCGAAACTTGTAGAGCTTTTCTCAGTATATTCACGTGAGTAACCCGCGATTTTACTTAATTTAGTGTATGACTTTCTATATATTGTATTGATATTCAGTCGAATCTGGTTCGACCTTGTTAAACAGCAAAAGAAAAAATCCTGAATTAATTTCCCCCGAATTTCATATGTTTACTCCCCAAACTTAAATGTTAATCGTCTAGAAAACCAAGTAACTGTAAAATGTTTAGAAATAAGTTTACTATCGAAGTGTATAACATGAATGCGCCGTATGCATAATCGTCTTCAGACAATTCTACCGTTTTGCCACCAAGTATCATCTGAAGTTCCATTATGAGAAACTGCAAAAATCACCTTTATTAGTAGAGGTAAGGATAACGAATTTAATCTATAATTCTGTAACATAATTAGGTAGTTTCCAGGATATCAAAATTAAAAATCTAATTAGTCCGTCAGTTATATAATGAAAAAGTATTAGTATTTTTAGTAACACGTATCTTTTATTTTTTATACTTAGATAAAATAGCGCTAAGTTTAGGAGTGGGAGGTCGTTACGTCATAACGTGGTACAAAATGTGGCACGCTGTGACGTCACACGATATTTCAAATTAATATATCGTCGAAAGTATTTAATTTTGTGAGAAATGAAAAAATACGTGTCTAAAGTTTTAAATTAATGTACCAGATGGACATTAAAATAAAATTTAGGAAACTACCCTATTATACATTTGGAAGTTGGATTGCTATAAAACAATAATCATAGTATAGTCAAACAACTTACAACGACTTGTATGATGGTCCCGATGACAAGAATAAATATATGAAGAGGTTTATATACGAAGCCCATTGCCATCTGAGTGATCATTATGATCATTACCACAGCCATAAATGCAACTGATACAGCCACAAGATATAGCATAAATTGTGTGAAGTCGAACTGTGAAATAAAACCAAGGTTAGATTTGTTCATTCATTTTAACTCACCGCCATAACTAGCTACTACTGGTTCACTGGTTTTCTACTGGCAACAAGACTGCATGGTTGGCGTGGTGCCTGGACAACCGGCTGCCGACCAATGTCCATTGGATTACTTTGTGTGATCCACCAATTGTTATTTCGGATCTCATATGTGTATATATATTCTTCTGTGAGTGTGTATGTCACTGAACTTCTCCCAAACGACTGGACCGATTTTGATGATTTTTTTTTGTGTGTGTTCAAGGGGATCTGGGAATAGTTTTTTTTTTAAGAGGGGAAAATCATCGAATGACTGCTCCCGCCTGGATGAGGCGGAAGGGAGTGTCAGACTCTTACTGACTAAAAACCACCCCGTTCCTTCTCCTGCACGTCGAGCCGGAGCCCCGGTTACCCGTTAGGTTTTCGCGACATCTGGGAATAGTTTAGATTCACAAATCAGCCCGGCAGATGGCGCTGCAGTCGATGTTTAGGTTATTTATCTTAAACAGCTGGACGAATTTGAATGAATTTTTGTTTATACATTCAAGTGGATATGCAGGACAACGTCTGTTGGGATATGAAATTGTATGTCTTTAAACGCACCCACGGCACAGGAGAAAATAAAATGTAGTTCAACGCTATATGTATAAAAGAGTAAAAACAAAGCCTTGACCCACAGCTATACCTGCGTAAATTTTTTATGAAAGTGATGAAAATAAACTTAATATCTCATTTACCTCCTTACACTTTATTAACTCAACCGATCTTTACATGTGTATGTAATTTAGATAACCATTATTTTGTTCATTAGTTCTTACATTTAATAAAATATGACATACTAATAAACGCACTGACATAATAATAAATATAAATGCACAACATTATCAACAAGAACAAGCCAACCTAACCTAACGATGACACTTTTATCATATAGCAGTCCCAATAATAAAAATAAAAATTGCAAGAAATAGAATAGTTAGGAGTAGGGAGAAGGACGAATGATTATACTGTAGGTAGGTACTCATTATACTCACACTACTGCAAGCCAAAGCCAAACAAACTAGTACAACAACAGTTGTGGACATTAGCGCAACAAATATTAACGGAGTTTCATAACGTGCTGTTATCCATGCTACGATCAAACTCATGAAAAAGACCTGAAAACATAATTATCAAAATCAAACAGTTGCAAGGCAACCCTTGTTATATTTACAGTAACTGGGGATTACGGTTAACTCTATACTCTCTAGCCTCAGTAAGTATGGCATCATCACTTCAGATCTAAATCGCTAAAATTTACTGCCCATCTCTCAGTGGAAGGCAGGTCTCGCAGTTTCAATGACATAACTGGGGATTACCGTTAACTCTATACTCTCCAGCCTCAGTAAGTATGGTATCATTACTTCAGATCTAAATCGCTAAAATTTCCTGCCCATCTCTCAGTGGAAGGCAGGTCTCGCAGTTTCAATGACATAACTGGGGATTACGGTTAACTCTATACTCTCCAGCCTCAGTAAGTATGGTAACATCACTTCAGTTAGGGGATCTAACATCGCTAAAATTTACTGCACATATCTCAGTGGCAGGCAGGTCTTGCAGTTTCAATGACATAACTTCAATCCTCAAGCCATTAGCCAAGTGTAAAAATTGTGGATGACAACGTGAGAGACTTTTATTCAACTCTGGAAGCTATCTGACTAATAATAATGTTATCTTTACAAAAACTTACCGCCAACATCAAGCATATAAAGTTGCAAGGGGGAACTCTAGTTATAGGAATGCATGCCATTGCATAACTTAAAGCCATTATTCCAACCCTGTAAAATATATATTTATTTGTAACCTTACTAGCTATTATCCGTGGTGGTAATATTATAATAAACTATTTTCTGCTCGCGACTTCGTACTCGCAATCCCGTTTCTCCCATTCCCGTAGAATTTTCAGGATTTTTTCTGTCTTAAGAACCTTCTCATAATAATAACAAATAAGAGAAAAAAAGAATTAGTGAAATGGTCGAGCCATTCACGCGTAATGCCGTGACCAAGGGGAAAAAGGGATTCATTTTTATAGATATAAATTCGATTTCGAGATTGATTTATGATAGCACAAGTTTAAACCTTAGTGGATTTTGGTTGCTATTTAAATGGATAATCCTGTACTTATTGTAAATACGATAAATAAAAAAAAACTAAGTACTAAATATCTATCTATATATATATTAAAATTAAACCCGTTTTCTGTTGTCACGACATAGCATGAAAACGGCTTGACTTGTTACTATTAGAAGAAGGTTTTTAAGACAGAAAAAATCCTGAAAATCCTACGGGAACAGGAGAAAATACGATTGCGCGTACGAAGCCGCGGGCAGAAGCTAGTATAAATATAAATACTGATTACTCCCGCGCAATCCTACCCGCTCAACTCTATTGATCGTAGCGTGATACATTATAGCGGATAGCCTTCCTCAATAAGTGGACTATCCAACACAAAAATAATTGTTTTTGTTTATATTTGATGGGCCGACGTTTTTATAACATCTATCGTGAGAAATACAAAATTAACTAGAAATTGCAGGTTACTCACGTGAATATACTTTATTTTTTCATGTACATACTAAATAACATACCTATATTGATAACTGCACATATACCGGACAATATACTTACATTCCAATAATACCAAAAAGAAACCCAGACCTCAGAAAAGTTTCTTTTAATTCACTGAAATTTTAAAAAAATATATATTAGTATAAATGTATTTGGGGGTGTTTCATCAAATACTAGTAATTTTGAATATCAGACGAAGTCGTATCACTTCGTGAAACTTCGCCTAACATATCTGGCGACATCGCGCGACTTATCTCCGTAGCACCGTCAGTCGACGACCAGACATGTCGACCAAAGTCCAGCAACGTCGTTCTAATTCACCCAACGTCGCTAGCGACACGTGTTGCACGATTTTGTCCCCCAGTGTCTCCTTGAATTAATGAAGAATAGTGGAACAGATCTTTAGTCTAATAAATTTATACTTACCTAGCATAAACCATATATACGAAACTGCTTGTGACAATCAGCATGATAAGCACTAAAAAAAACACTAATTGGACGAAACTGTTTCTGTCAGGCGCATATGTAAATGGTGTTGTACCAGGAGGCAGCGGTTGTGCGTGAGCATGTACTAAAAACAAAAAGACTCAATCAGACACTACACAAAGGATGCTACAACTACGGGAAAATAGGGACCACCGTATTTTTTGCTCATCAAACGGAGCTAGTGTGAACCTCTCGTGTGAACCTTTCATCTATTCGTCCAATAGGAAATAAGCTAAAGTCACATTATTGGTCATTAAATTTTTAACAGCTACAATGATTGCAGAAATAATCCTCTTCCTACATTTGCGGCAACTGGGGAGCAAAAAAACGGTAGCCTCCATTACGGCACACCGGTGTGGTTTTAGCCAGTAAGAGTCTGACGGCTTCAGCAGAATTTCTTACATTCTGTCATATACGATACGACCTTCAAGAAAAGAGCGTATTCTTTTTTAATAGGCTGGCAACGCTTCTTTACTTGCGTAGTGTTGCGGGTCTACATGGGCGGCAGTAATCGCTTACCATTAGGTGATCCGTACGCTCGTTGTATAATATTTGAAATTAAAATGCAAATATTATCCCAGTATGGATTAAACTATGAAATACGTCGCCATTTTTAGTGTTGATGCTGAAGGTACGACTTCAGGTGACTCGTTTTAAAATCCAAAACGAAAATTGTTATTAAAAGTACTGAGTTTGAAATTAGGATCCATAATATGAATTCCTATATCATATGGAACACATAAATAGCGTCACATTAGTTATGATGAAGCTGTTTCAGCAATTTTAAACTGGCTAATTCCCAATTTTATATTATACTTACTATTAGCCTGCACCCAATATTCTCGCATCCAGCTCATTTGTTTGGCTTCACTATGGCCTACGTTTTTATTAACACTATGTTTATCATGTTTCGGTATACGACTGTAATTTAATTCTGTTAGATCCATTATATCTAAAATTTCACTATCGTTTTCTATATTATTTACTTTAGTATTATCTACAGCATCAACAGTTGGTACAATTTCTTTTTCAACTTCATCAAGTTTAAGTATCTCATGAATCTTAACAACGGTTGTATTTTTTTTCTTTGGTACTTTAGTTTCAGTGGTTTTAATCTCATTTTGTACTTCAAAACGTGCCTCGTCCAGTGTAGATGTCATTTATGTTTTATTTAGATTTGTGATTCGTTAAACATTAAACAATAATAAATAATTATTGTGTATCAAAAGTGTTTCTTTAAAACTGACATTCACTGTCATCTTGGCGTCAAATAAAATCAACGACTAGACAGAAGGCAAATTCATTGAGAAGATTGTATTCAACACAAAAGTAGGTTCACAATCAGAATTTAGTTTTGGCAAAATCCTATTATTTGTACAAGTTTGAGGAATATATCTAATATAGATGTGTATATTAGGAATGCTGCTATAGCGTAATCGTTTTCGCTCAATTCTAATGTTTTTCCTCCCAGTATCATTTGGAGTTCCATTATTAGCATCTGTAAAAAAAAAAATATTTTGGTCACTCATATTAAGTTTACATAAGTCTTTTGACTGGGCCGAATTGAATAACCCATCTCAATCTTTAATCTGTGGAGTAACATTGATTTTTAAACTCATCAAAATCCAGTTTTTTACTGTTTGATCGACTACTACCGTGTGTTAAAATTATATTAATTTCCAGACAATACAACTCAACTCTAGCATGCCTCATTTAGTAAACTTCATAAAGATCAAGATTGTCTCTTTTTGTGGGGGGAAAATTATCCAATATCTCCCACCTTGGGTAAGGCGTAACTATCAGATTCTTACTAACTAAAAACCACCACGTTCCTACTCTTGCTTTGAGCCGGAGCCCCGGTAACCCGTAAGGTTGTTCGCAGCTCCGAATCAGATTTCTCGTGACATATAGGATCACCGTAGGGACATTTACTCAAGGTTAACCAGACATCTTCATCATCTCCTCATGTCGTTTAAGCAAAGGATATTCTATTATGAAATACTGACTAACAGACCCTCGCTTGACCTTGAAACGTACATATTGTTAGGTCTTACTACTAAAATGTACATAAACTAATTATTGCAAAATTGCTGACACTCAAAATATTGAGTGTTATATCCCAATAGCTGGAGTAATATGGTTGATACCAAGGCCCATTGTATAAATAACGGTAAACGTCATATGCACGCTTTCGTTAATTGAGGATTGCATGACGAATGCTTTCGTAAAAATGATCAAAACTATGTCCACGGAGCAGCAACCTTGCGTTACTCACTTTCATACAAATCTGTCCTATTGTCAACTTATCGTTCTTTGTAAGTCACATGCATTCGTCAAAGGACACGTCGGGCACACTAGGCCGAAGCAAGGTAAGGTAAGCAACTGGAAAAGGACTCAATAAGAGGCAGCCAAGGAGTACCCAAGAAAGACCAATAGTTAAAAGTTGATTATAATTTTCACCAACTCATAGGTACACCAAATGAGTTAAACTTTATTACAACCAACATTAATGAAAATTGTTATAATGAAACAGAACCAATTAATTTGAATCGTAATTAAATTAAATCAAACTATAACTTTGTATCATTTAAAAACTTAAATATTTCGTCTGAGGTTAAACTAAACTAAGTTATGAAAGACGCTAAAGTCGAATTGTACTTAAAGTTGTTTAACCAATTTTGGTAAGGTTATGTCTTTGGTGCGTGCAAAATAACTCAGATGTTCTAAGTTTATTTTTGGGTACAAATAGATATTTCTATTATCTTTAAGAGTTGTTAATAAGCACAAAGGCTGTATAGATGGGCGAGGAAAAAAATACTTAATTGTAAATAAATACTATCGTCTCAGTTCCTTTTATCATCAAATCGAAAAATAATGATTGAAAAAAACATCAAAGAACTTAATAAAAACATATTTATTGAAACTTTAATTTGAAAAGTAAAATACATTTTCTTGAAAATTTTGTTTCGTCGCGGTTCTTAACGGCTTCAATCATCATGATCGCTATCGGCATGATAATTTTGAACAATTTCGTACAAACCAACTCGGTTGCGGTTTTTGTAATCCACCTGAATATGAGATGATAAAAATATTTATTTTAGTATATGGGTTAAAAATTACTAGTAACCCGTCAATGCCAATCTATACATATAAAAATGTCGTGCTAGTTACTCTATAATCATATCTCAAGAACGGCTTAATCGATTTGGCTGAAAAATATACCAGAAGACATATAGGATAATTTTTAAGGATGTCCCGGAAATCTTACAGGAACGGGAGAAAACGGGATTACGCTAACGATAAACGAGTCCAACATTATGCTAACTGATTACCTATTTAGTTTCGAAAACAAAGTAGGGACATCGATAGAAACCCTGGCACAGTTTCTCAAAGTTCAGTCAAAATAAAGTGGGAGAACTGTGGTCAAGAGTATGAAGTAAAATTATTATAAGACATACACACGGTAACAAATCAAGCTACTCAAAACCAGTATAAACTGACCATGGAATACGCGGAAAGATCATACAATGCAAGATACAATGCATGTGAAATTGGTTTTGTTATCTCGACCTGTGACTGTGTGTACAAATAAGTTACGAACTCACCACTATTTGTATCAAAGTTCCTACAGCAAGTAAAACTATAATCACCGGCTTCATCAACATCCCCGTTGCCACAAATGCTATCGAAACAATACAGACGACGATAGTAAATCCAAGAGATATACCAATAATGTATACACGTAGCTCGTGAAATCGAACTGAAATGTGAGAAGATAATAAAATGTCAGAAAATATTAGTAAGATCACATAAAACGCATTGCGCATTAATCATTCAGATCGGTCAACATACTATCGTATTTTTCAGTTTTCAAAAAATTCTCAGCAATAACAAGGAGTCTAGATTTGCGTAACACTGTAAACTTATGAACCACATCACATCAACAGCCTATAAGTGGCCACAGCTGACCAAAAGCCTATTTTAGCACAGATAAGTTTTCAACATAAATCACCACGCTTGCTCAATGGGGGTGGCGATTTCAAGCTTGTAATCAGAACTTATAAGCCCAGATTTCCTCACGTTATTTTCCTTCACCCCTGTCAGTGGAGTATAAATATCTTAGAAAGTACATATACCTCTAAACTCGTAAAAGTCGCTTTGGTACTTGCCGTTGGTAGGTTTCGTACCGGGCGTCTAAAACCATCTGGGCAATCACGAAATTTGTAACTGATGAACTTAACCCTCTACTAAATGACCATAATGATGATCAATAGTGGTAAAATAAGACAATATTGATAAATACCTATAAACGTTTTTAACCAAAAGTCGTAGAATAGAGGTAATATTTCTCAAAAACCAACTTACATTAGAATACGCAAGAACAACACATATAAACGTCACTGCCGATGTAGCAATAAATGCGTATAGTATGACATCAGTTTTGTAGTGAGATGTTACTTTTGCAGCAATTATGCTCATCGCCATGGTCTGAAATACAAAATAGATGCTAAAATCCCAAAGGAATGTTTCTAGAAGTTTTTATGATAGCTGGCAATACAATGAAAGTGCTTGAAATAAAAAAGTACCTGTGCAATATTAATTAGGCAAACTAAGAGGGAGAGAAAGAGACAGAGCATATTAGGATGTAATGGCAAATTACCTTCCCCTTCCCCAATCTCCCTAATCCCTGAATCCCCAACGATCCTCAAACTCCTAATCTCCAAAAAGCCGGTGACGCACTTGTAACGCCTCTGGTGTTCCAGGTAAAGGCGACGCCGATTGCTTACCATCAAGTGATCCGTCTGCTTGTTTACCGGCTTATGCCATAAAAAAAAAACATTCTGATCCATTTTTTTGTTTGTAGACCTGTTCTGTTCGTGGAGTAAAATAATAGAAAGAACTAAATATAGCAATTAATGAATTGGACCGCAATGTAGATGATATCAAGCAAGAACTATTGATTTAAATTAATCTAAAGGCATACTAACTGTAAACATAAGACAAATAATGTTGCACGGTGGACGCCTGGCGCACGGAGTACATATCATAGTACAATTAACTGTAATTAGGAGCATTCTGCAAATCGATATAATCATGCTACATTATACATCCTAAAAATATGAACGTTGGGAAAGTTTGTTTGTCTATTTGTTACTACTTCACGACAAAGCGGCTGAAGGGATCGTGATAAAATTTGAAATAAGGGCAGATTATGGTTTGGAATAACATATAGACCAGGTTTTATCCCACGTGATCGTGGGCAAAGCCGCTGACAGAAGCTAGTTACTCATAAAAGCCTTTTTAACCTTTTTAAGAAGGGAAAATCATCGAATAAATACGCGCGGCGTCTAAATGGCACATACTTTTATCAAACGCCTACGCTATAGATAGACAAACGCTAGTATGAAGGGGTTCTAAGGTGTACTTACGCAGCTAGAAACATTAAAAGCCATCCGGAAGTTCGAAAAAATTCTTTTACTTCAGGCCTGCAACAATGAGATAACATTGATTTCCATTAAGGTGTTAATGTCTTGTGGTAATTAATACATACATAACAAGGACTTTCTTTGTGTCATTTTTTTCATGGCATAAGCCGGTAAACGAGCATACGGATTACCTGATGGTAAGCAATCGCCCATGGATACCTGGAACACTAGAGGCGTTACAGATGCGTTACTGTCCTTTTGGGGATTAGGAGTTTGAAGATCGTTGGGGATTCAGGATTTGGGGAGATTGGGGAAGGGGAGGGTAATTGGGCCTCACTCAGACGACGAAATACAACGCAAGCGTTGTTTCACGTCGGTTTTCTGTGAGGCGGTATCACTCCGGTCGAGCCGGCCCATAAGTGCCGAAGCATGGCTCTCCCACACTTGTCACTTTATCAGTAACAGTATTTTCTTTCCATTTCATTTATATTTCGGTAGCTACTACCGCGCGGTTGCACCTGCTCTACTCGGCTCGTATAGATCGTATCATGATATTTAATAGCCTATCGATAAATTGACAATCCAACTCAAAAATATTTTTTCAAATTAGACTAGTAGTTCCTGAGATAAGCGCGTTCAAACACACAAACTCTTCAGCTTTAGTAATAAGATTACCAACTGTTGTTAAATACACGAAGACTTTAGAAAATAGGTATAGAATAGAATAATAATCTTTATTGTACACCAATTCGAGACATATATCCAGGTACAAATTAAAGAAAAAAACTGTACAAAGGCGGCCTTATCGCTAAAAGCGATATCTTTTAAGGCATAAACTAAAATTAAACCTAAAAAGCAAATACTTACACTGTAAGAACGACAACCAAAACAGCAGAAGTAGAAAGCAACATCACAAGTACTATGAACATGACGAGCTGCACGAAGGAGTTTCTTGCAAGAGGATCATATAAAAGTGGTCCTCCACCATCATAGCCGTATGCACCCTGATAACCACCATCACCACCATACCCAGGATATGGTGGAGGATGACCTGGGTAAGGCCCTGAAAACATGAGACTGGTATGAAGCTGATTTTCCTTCCCTCGTGGTACATACGTGACACCTAAGCCAAATTGATGTATTTATGCTGAATGAACTTATGCTTAAAACTACAGACTCGAGAATATTTAAGAAGCTTGACGTATGCTTTGACATTACTATTTGTGAAAATCAATGTCAATTTCATTGATTACCTATTTATTTTCTCTCATTTATTATCTCTGTCATTAGCTCACCGCACTGTACTGAATATACTGCACCAATACTATGGTTACCTACTTTTTTATTATTGGATCTAATAGCTGTCCAAAAAAATGAAGCAGACAAACATATTGACAAACATCAAATACTAACCGTACTGAGTCCATACCGTGTGCTGTGGTTGAGGAGGGGGAGCTTCCTGACGCCACAACTGCCTTGATAGCCTCGGTTGATTTTGATCTGGTGGTCTCGCCCCGAAAACATAATTATACATGCCCATTACTGTATATTTTCTATTCGCAGCTCTTTGGTTTATTATGTTGAGTTTAAATGCGGTTACATCGTTAAATTTTCCAGATTCTCCGTCTTCATTTTTTTCTGTAGGAGGCTCTATACTATTTTCTATATCGATACAAACTAGATCTTTGCTTTCTGCTATGGTAATCGGTCTCGGCTTAACTGCTTCTTCTTGTTTGACCAAATCCATATTAGCGGTAGTACCCAGGTCCGTTTGTGCATCGTAATTACTGCTTTCATCCACATCTTGAGTATTTGTGCTTTTATCCAGGTGTAAAACAGTCATAAAGCAATAAAATAACAAAAATAAAAATGTTCGTACAAAATCGTACCAAAATTGTCAAAATACATTTTCTGAAATAACGTGACATTTTCCTTTTTTGATGTTCATAAACAATTGTTCGTTACAATGATAAGATTTTTATTAAAGGAGTACTTATTTGATTAAAAAGATACCATTCACGAGAATCAATTTCGTAATAGCATAGAATAATTGTAACAAGTATTTTTATCTATCCCAAATAACTTTAGAGGAATCCATCAGCGAACAACAGAAAATGGGCACAAAAGTAACTTGCTACTTTCTACATAATTGGATTCATGTCTATTACCCCGACCATTAGTAGGGCACGCCAATCCATTTACTGAGCCCACTCAACTAACAGTTCTTTTGTCACTGTCCCAAGTGTGGCGGTTTCATTTTTCATATCTTTTCACATTGGCCCATCATTGTTCCCAGCCGGAGTGGTTCGACGTTGGAAAGTAATTTATTAACCACTCTTTGTACAATTCCCTGATATTGTTTGAAGGGACTTTTTTTAGTTTTTACTAAAAATTTCATTAATTACAACTTTTAAAACCACTGCGCCATGACCGAGGAACCAAAGGGATTATTCTACAACCACTCAAGGCAATTTCAGAATAAAAACCAATCGAACTGATGCTACTTTATCCTAGGCTAGCTACATACTAATACATTTCTGATTGGATAATTTTTTTTTCTATTATTATTATGTATCGTCTCAAATTAGTTTCATGTCCAGTTTTAACAATAAATTAGCTATCGATAATAAGAACAAAAATCATACATTTATTTTGCGCAATGAAAAAATATTGCAGTGACTTCAAACTACTGCCTCGACTGCCTCATTGGCTGTGTGGTCGCAAGTGCGACTCCGGCAGTCGCAAGGGGTCTCGGGTTCGATTCCCGGGTCGGGCAAATTACTACTGGGTTTGTAAAAAACCTCAGTAGTAGCACGGAGTCTGGAAATGTGCCTGGTATATGGCAATAGGCTCACCGCCTATTATATGGGACTTATAACATAAATAGTGAAAAGTGGGTGTTACATTGTAGTGGCATGATGTGCACCTCTGCCAACCCCTTCGGGGATAAAAGGCGTTGATGTTATGTTATGTGGTGACTTAAAACTAATGTCTATAAACATATAACTAATGTCGATACACTACACGTACCTGAATGTCTTGCAAGAAGATTATTTCTTAGAAAAGTTTTGATCTCTAGGGGAATTGGGAGAATCTGTGCGCAATCCAAGAATTATATTTCTATACAGATAACTGTAGATGTAGACTATACTTTGTTAGGGCTGCGGTCGAGAAAATTGGAGTTACATACTACTTTGACCCATATTCTTAAGTTTAGTAGGATTACGGAAAAAAATTGTCATCACGTGCAATATTTTCTAAAAGTTTTAGATTTTTTCCATAGGAAAATACAAAGAAGTAAGCATGTTTCATTTGCAAGATTCTTCATCCGTGCTTGAGATTATCATCAAAAATACAGCACATAGCCATAACTATCATAAAATTATGGTTGAATGCGAAAACTAATCATAGCGGTCATTATTGATTTAATGAGCAATCGCGGCAGGCGATACAAACCGTCTAAGTGATCCACAGCTAGAGATAGGTATGTCAAGTAGTGTACGGACAGACTACCGATTATGATGATAATACCATATAGAAGATAACATAACATCACGCCTTTTGTCCTCGAAGTGATAGGCAGAGGTGCAAATTACGGCACTTAATCTATACTAAAATTATAAAGCTGAAGAGTTTGTTTTTTTGTTTGAACGCGCTAATCTCCGAAACTACTGGTCCGATTTGAAAAACTCTTTCTGTGTTGGATAGCCCATTTATCGAGAAAGGCTATAGGCTATAAAATATCACGCTACAATTAATAAGCATCATCGAGCATCGAGCAGAGCGAGTGAAACCGCGCGTAAATACCTAGTCCCACTATATAATGTAACACAACATTAATATAGAAGATAACACAGAAATAATATCGACGACTAAACATTTGGTATCAAAACCAGAAAACAACCAACAAACAGCATGAAGTAATTCTTAAGACTTCTGTTAATGATCACCCATCTAGAGATAGAATAGAAAACTCACTGTCAGGGTCATGAAATCCTTAATAAGGTTATAAACCTAGAAAATCCAATTACGTTGGAATAAATAGGTATTTGGAATAATAAGGAATTGTAAATAGTATTAGAAAAGGAATAGAAGGGACGGCTGTTAGCAGTATCTTCAGCTATCGTTAAGAACAATTACCGCTATTCAAACAAATTGTTTTTGGACTAAAACTTAATGTCGAAGGAAAACAATTATTTTATATGGCATTTGACATCGTCACTTGATATGAATATTGTAATGTGAATTGTATTTTATCATAATTGTTACCGTCCAAATGCCAAAGCGATAAACAGAGTAGAACATATGAAAATTAATGCTCAATTTTTACTGTTAAATCATAACATAACATAGCATCACGCCTTTTATCCCTGAAAGGGTAGGCAGAGGTGCACATTACGGCATTTAATGCCACTGTAATGTAACACCTACTTTTCACTATTTATTTTATGAGTCCCATGTAATAGGGGGTGAGCCTATTGCCATATACCGGGCACAGTTCCAGACTCCGTGCTACCACTGAGAAAAACCCAGTAATACTTTGCCCGACCCGGGAATCGAACCCGAACCCCTTGCCCGGCAGTCGCACTGTTAAATCGTTGGTTCTATAATAGTTATTATGGAGGCCATACATACAATGACAAAAATCTCAATCCCTGTATTCTAGCAGATTTTTTTATACCTAGTAAATTCCCATTCTTACACTAACTGACCCCGAAAAAGAATCAAAGATCCATTTTCGGTAGTCGCACTTGCAACATATATCGAACTAGTTAGAACCTAGTTATAGCCAATAGACTCACCCCCTATTACATGGGACTCTTAAAATAAATAGTGAAAAGGTGAGCGTTATATTGTACAGTGGCCATAAGTGCTGCAATGTGCACCTCTGCCTACCCCTTCGGCGATAAAAGGCGTGATGTTATGTAGAACCTAGTTATGAAAAAAGGACGGAGAAAAATAAATACGGGCATGATGTCACTTTAAATTAATTAAAGCTCCAAAATATCGGTGGGTTATTTATGTGTGCGTGCGTAATGGGTTACCACGTTACCAGACTCAAGAAAATAACAAATGTCCTTCGTGTCAATGTGTGTATGATCTGCGTGTAAGGCTTGTATAGTGAGCCGCGAAGAACCTAACGGGTTACCAGGGCTCCGGCTCGAAGGGCAGGAGTAGGATCGGGGTGGTTTTTAGTCAGTAAGAGTCTGACACTCCCTACCGCTTCACCCAGGCGGGAGAAGCCATTCGATGATTTTCCCCACTAAAAAAAAGGCATGTATAGTAACAAGGTGCCACAGTCGTTGTTTCAAGAGATGGTGTCCACCTTTTTTCAACGTCGTGTAATAAGAAGACTGCAAAGAAACAAAAACATTCATCCTTACTAATATTATAAATCTGAAAGTGAGTTTGTTTGTTTGTTTGTTTGTTCCACCTTCACGCCGTAACTACTAAACCGATTGCTTTGAAATTTTGCAGACGTAAAGTTAGAAGTCCAGATTAAATAATAGGGTACTTTTTATCCCGGAAAAATATGATATTCCCGAGGGAAAACAAAAATATTAGTATAGATGGCGCTGTGTGTACTCCTGTAGATGGCGCTTTGTGCCGTCTAAAACAATTCAACGAATTACCTACTAATTGGAAATTTCACGCTTTAATCTATAGCGCTTATTTGGTGTTAATCTACACTTATTCAGTGCGCTTTTCGACTCATTAATTGCTATTTTTATGTAAAAATACTTAAAAAACACAACGTGGTAACGTTGTGTAGTAGTTACGCTACTTGGCGATAGATGGCGCTGAGTGTTTATAAAACGGGGTAGCGTTGTGATTTTAAAGTACTTTTATCGCTTTTAAATTTTGGTTCCTACCATTTTACATTGAATTGTGTATTTTATAGATTTTAGGTTGTTAAAGGTACATGAAATTGGTGTCTATGTAGTAGTTACGCTATTTTTTAAGTATTTTTCGCTTTTAAATTTTGGTTCTAACCATTTTACATTAAATTGCGTATTTTATAGATTTTAGGTTGTTAAAGGTACACAAAATTGGTGACTATGTAGTAGTTACGCTACTTGGCGATAGATGGCGCTGAGTGTTTATTATTATATATTAAAAGAGTAACGTTGTTTTTTAGTATTTTTATCGGTTTTAAATTTTGATTCCTACCATTTTACATTGAATTGGGTATTTTATAGATTTTAGGTTGTTAAAGGTACACGAAATTGGTGTCTATGTGGTAGTTACGCTACTTGGCGATAGATGGCGCTGAGTGTTTATAAAACGGAATAGCGTTGTGTTTTTTAAGTATTCTTCGCTTTTAAATTTTGGTTCCAACCATTTTACATTAAGTTGCGTATTTTATAGATTTTAGATTGTTAAAGGTACACGAAACCATAGTGGCAACAATACTCAACAATTAGCAAATATATTGTACGCTGTTGTTTCAACGCTCGATAGATGGCGTTAGGATCGAGTTAGATGGCGCTATGGTTTCGTTACCGGCGAAAGTATAGGTTCCGGCTTCCGTATCAACTATATTTTAGGGTACGCATCTAGCGTTAATTGATTATTATTTGTTCGATTTGTAGGTTTGATTAGTCAAGTTTATTTTTTCTAGGTAGATATTTAAAGTACTATAGTAAATTTTTTTCGTCGTTCTAAGACGCTTTGTTCATTGTTTACGTTGATTGATACTGTAGCTATATTAGTTAGGTTAGATTAGTGAAGTGGTTTATTTCTAAGTAGATGTCTAAAGTAGTTAGGTTTTCGATAATAAAACTTATAATATAGTTTACCACTCAGTTTTGGTTTAGCATTGCAAATATAACCCTTATAGGA